CGCATTCTATCACGGATCCACTTACTCTGACTCTGTCTCCTCTCCTGCCTGCAGAACATCAGCATGGTGTCTCTGCTGAAGATTACCAAGCTCTGCTAAAAACTAAGCTCTATCTGTTCTAAGAAGACCTTTACTCTCTCTAAGATCCTGTCTCTCTCTCTCCAGCTAAAGTAGCTAGCCCTCAAGCACCTATGAGCAACTGTTCCTAAGCAAGGTAGCTCAGTGGTCCGCGTCCAGAACCTACCTAAGCTGGGCCCGAGACGTGCGCAGTCCTAGGCCCTGACAAGTGGTGTCAGAAGTGGGGTAGTGAATGCCACTGACAAATGGTGCTGTGAGCAGGATTCAGTAAATTGACCGAGAGGGAAATAAGCTTTAGCAAAATAAGAAGAAGAGAAGAGAAATAGAAATACTAAGAGGAAAAGAAATATCTAAGAAAGAGAGCCAACAGCAGGCCTTTTTCATTCAGTTTTTTCCTCTTTCCTACGGTTTCTTTTTCCAAATTCTACTTCTGTGGGAAAAAAGCTGGTAAAATCCTTTAGCCTCTTCCATGAAGTGGCTAGAGAAAAACAGAAAAAAGCCTCTAAGTAAGAGGGAAAAAGCAAAGCTAGACCTAGAAGATAAGAATCTTTAGTAAACAAGCCTTTAGCCTCAGGGGTGAGAAAAGCCTTGGTAAAAGAGAAAAAGTTCAGGAATAGGTTGCAAGAGCTTATTAAGGTAGGGAAGGGAACTTCTAACTGCCTTCCCCTAATACCTTGCCCAATGTCAGCAGGAAGTAGCTTTTGAGAGACCGACGCCCTGATTCCCTTTTTGGCAGTTACGAGTTCTGTTTAAAAAGAAAAGAATTGAGGTAGATTGAGGCTGGTGAAGAAATAGTGGAAGTAAAGTTTTGTAAAACAAGACTCCAGAGTAAAAAGAAACAGCTAAAGAGCTCCTGTCTCTTTAAGGCAGCCAAAGGTTCTAAGAATTGAAAGGGAAAGATTGTAAAAAGTAAAAGGCTAAAAGAAAAAACCAGTAGAGAAAAATCATGGCAAATGAGATACAGTACTTGAAATACAGTTGAGAGATCAGATGAATCTTATAGTAGAAGCAGGTAAATGCTATATTGACGTCTCAAATTGGGCAGCTGGAAGATCAGAGGGTAAATCCCCCAGTTAACATCAAATGCCATGAATGTGGGAAGCTAGACCATAAGAGAAAAGAGTTTAAAAGGGAAAAGAATGTTGAATGCTAAAAAAAGAAGAAAGAGCATGTAAACCTCCAGGTGTATGTCCCAAGTATAAAAAAGAGCTTTCATTGAGCAAACAAATGCTGTTATCAATTTGATAGAAAATGGAACACCTTTACTGTAGGGGAATTATCAGTTGGGCCAGAATCAGGACCCACTGGTAAATCAAAGAAAAAACAGTTTAATATTTTCATTTCAAACCATTCTCAGAAAAAACAGTATAATTCAATTCTATGCCATGGGAGCACTCTACCAGCTTGGTTAGACCTGTGGTGCCTCAGAGTAAAACGGGGGAAATTAAATCAGACCAATGGATGACAATGGAGAATAATTAGATTAAATGTTTGTGGAATATTAGGTTATCCTGTGTGGTGAAGGGGTAGCTTGACCTCTCATCAGTGTCTGTGCACTACAACCGGGTCCAGCTAAGGAGACTGGACACTGACCAAAGGGGAAGTGTCACTCAGAAGCAAGTGAAGCCTTTGGAAGATTATGAGAGGTGAGAACAAAGGGAGGGAAGAGTAAAAGTTAAACCACCTTTGTGCTAGGAAACTCCATTTGAAAAAAAGGAGTCTGGAATCGCTGGAAAAGCAGTTTGAAAGCAGGAAAAACTCTGCTATCGAGGAATTGTGAAGGGTGGTACTTTTTGGACCACGAGTAACAGTTCTATGAGAGGAACTGCCAAGTGTGGAACCATCAATGCACAAGTAACACAGTCTTTTGCGATCTGTGAAGGGTGGATTTCAGTACCTCGAGTAGCAAAACCTTTGGAATAGCAAGAGAAAAATCCTCTGCTTGCAAAGATTGCAAGGAAAGCGTTATTTTTTGTTCGTCCCTAAAGTAAATATCAAAGGAAAGTGCCTACAGTTAACGAAATGATAAATTCTATCAGGAAAGATTTCAGTTTTCTCCTTTTTAAAAGAGCTTTAAGAGAATTAACATCACAATCATTTTCCCCTAGCACAGGCTAATAGTTTACGTCTGTATTGGGCTTCCTCATTTAAAGAGCCCATACCTGGAATTCTGAACTCTGATAATTACCATCTTTTGCCTAGAAAGAAAAGGGCTAGATAACAGGAAGAACTGCCCTTACCACATTAAAAGTTATTTTGTTTGTATATAAAAAAGAGGGGAAATGTTGCAGCTC